AAGTTAGAGCAGTGATTCGCAAACCCCAGTCGTGTGTTATCTCCTGTCTGCAGAGTGTGATTTTAGACACACACACACACACACACACACGTCCCATTTGTGCTCTGGGGGGGATGGCTCACAGGGCCTCCGCACGTGCTTTGCCTGTGGGAGCCATGGGTTTGACCCTTTGTGCTGTGCGGTCTCCCAGACTCCACTGCGCTTGACCCCTGAGCACAGCTGGGCGTGACCCAGATTGAAGAAGAATAAATGAATGACTTCCTCGTTGCTCTAGGAAACAGTAATTTTTTTTTATCTGAATTGATTACTCCTAATAAATGGAACAGACTAGACTTACGAAATTGCAGCCAGGTGCTACCTCCGGGGTTTTGGGAATCATTGCTCTAACTAGGGTGCTGGAAGGTAAAGCCCTTCAGAAACCCAGAAACGCTGAAGGAGCAAATGCAGGACTTCGACTGTTACACTGATAAGGCTGCTCACCCATTCGGTAAATGGGCAGCTCCCTGTGCACCTGTGCGAGGCATTGGCGTAGCTCCATTCTAATTGGAGGGACAAAGTCATCAAAAAGAGAAAACGCGCTGGAGCAATAGGACAGTGGGGAGGGCGCTTGCTTTGCATGTGCCGACCCAGGTTTGATCCCCAGCATTCCATACGGTCCTGGAGGACCGCCAGGAGTAGTTTCTCAGTGTAGAGCCAGGTGTAACCCCTGAGCATTGCCAGGTATGGCCCAGAAACAAAAGCAAGAGAGGAAGTAAGCATAGACGCTTCTTTCCTTGAAAGAATGGGCTGGGCAGAAGAGAGCTTAGCCAGCTCAAGCACGTGCTTCGCACTCCCCTGAGTGATCGCAGCTATAAGCCAGGAGTAGCCCCTGGCTCAGAAACAAGAGAACAGGGGCTAGAGCGATAGCATAGCGGATAGGGCGTTTGCCTTGCATATGGCCGAGCCGGGTTCGATTCCCAGCATCCCATATGGTCCCCCGCCAGGAGTAACTCCTGAGTGCAACAGCCAGGAGTAACCCCTGTACATCTCCGAGTATGAATCCATAAAAGAAAGAAAAAAAAAAAGAAACGAGAACAGAACAGGGCTGTGGGTCAGACCTTGGGCAGCTGGCCTTTAAAATGGGGTGATATGGGCCAGAGAGATAGTTCAAAGAGCTGGACTGCATGCATAGAGCCCCAAATTCGATCCCAAGTACCATAGTTGGCCTCCAGAGCACCCCCAATGTGTCTCTAGTGTTCTTTGACTCAGCACTGCTTGGGAGACCCCAAAACAAAAACCAGAAGAGGAAGTCAGAGAGATGACACAGAGACTAAGTCTTGGTTCACATCTCTGGCATGAGATATGACGTGGTTCCCCCACGTGTGGCCAGGGATCACTTCAAGATGATGTGGGGGCTGGGCATGTGGCTCAGTGAGAAAGCGCATGCTGTGCATGCATGAAACCTGCATTTGATTCCCAGCACATAAAAAGATGGGACTGTGTGTATTCAGGGGAGAGATTAATGGAGAACTTGAGAAGTGCCCATGTAACTTAGCCAGCGTGATCTGAGAAACCTCAGTTGGGGTGGAGGCTGCTGACATAAGCCTTTAGTGTTACATCAAATAGAGCATGCAGGGTATTTGTGTGTGTGTTTGGCAAAATTCCTTGTAAACTGTACGGCCCACAAACTGTAATGACCTCATTTGATCTCCCAGCCACTCATTATCTTCATTTTATAAATGAGGCCTCTGAGGCGTGGGGAGAGGAATGGACTTGCCCAGGGTCTTGCATCCAGTTCGGTGGTGGAGTTGAGCCCCAAACTCAAGAGCTCTTGGCCTGGGACCAGGAGCTTCTTGTTCCCTGCCTGACTCCCAGGGTAGATCACTGTCAGCGCCTGAGAACTGAGTGCTCAGGTCTCTGTCCTCCCCTTGTGGCCGGCAGGTGCTATGACAAGCGTCTGTGGCCTCGAATGGATCTGAGCCGGCGAAAGTCACTGACCCCGCCTATGCTCAGTGGTGTAGTTCGTCGCCAGCCTCGCGCCCTGGACCTCAGTTGGACAGGTGTCTCCAAGAAGCAGCTCATGTGGCTTCTGAACCGACTGCAAGGTAGGGTGGGATAAGGGTGGGATAGTGAGGTAGGGACAGGGTGAGGAGGGCCGCGGGCTCGGGACAGGGTCCCCTAGTACCAGCTCTGTGACCTCTCCCCAGGCCTGCAGGAGCTGGTGCTCTCTGGCTGCTCCTGGCTCTCCGTCTCTGCCCTGGGCTCAGCCCCACTGCCAGCCCTGCGGCTCCTGGACCTCCGCTGGATTGAGGATGTCAAAGACTCCCAGCTCCGCGAGCTGCTGCTGCCTCCACCCGATACCAAACCAGGTGCCACCTTCGTGGGCGCGTGTAGAGTGGGGCGGGCAGGGCGGCAGAGACTGCAGTCTCTCCTAACTCACGTCGGCGTTAGGGCTTTGAAGAAAGGACGGAACGCATAGGTTTGAGTCGGAAGGCCCTGTGTGACTAGCACATTCATGTCCCCGCATTCCTCAGCCTTGGGGTCGGAGGAATAGGTAAAGAGGGTACAGACCCAGGGCTGGAGCGATTGTACAACGGGTAGGGCATTTGCCTGTACGCTGCCGACCTAGGTTTGATTCCCAGCATCCCACATAGTCCCCTGAATACTTCCTGAGTGCAAAGCCAAGAGTAACCCCTGAGCATTGCGGGGTGTGACCCAAAAAAGGGGGGGGGAAGGAGGGCACAGCCCCTACAAGCTGGGAAAGCTTGAGTGACATGGTGAAATACCATCACAGGAGGATGACATGAGTTCTGGGAGAAGCAGGACCGCTGGGGACAGTCTGGGTGTAGTGGGCACTCTCGGAGAATGTTCTAGAGGGAAACTGCAGCGGTGGCCGTGGGTGCATGCAGTGTGGCCCATCAGCACAGCCTGGCCCCGAAAGCCAAAAACAGAACTGTGGTGGAAAATCCTGGTTCTCAAATGATGGCAATTAGTTAACATTCATGTGTGGACCCAATAAAACTATGGCTGAGTTTCAGTTTAGACCCCCGGGCCCTCTTACCTTAGAAGGGATGAAGATTTGATTGAAGCAGGACACCCGTGGGAAATTGTATGTGGAGACTGGTATCTCCCAATGAGACTGGCAATCTCATCCCCCGAGTCAAGCCCAGGCACTCCGCTAGGAGTTGGCGTTACTATTAGACTCTCTCTCTCTTTTTTTTTTTTTTTTTTGCTTTTTGGATCACACCCAGCGATGCTCAGGGGTTACTCCTGGCTTTGCACTCAGGAATCACTCCTGGCAGTGCTTGGGGGACCATATGGGATGCTGGGAATCGAACCCGGGTTGGCCGCGTGTAAGGCAAGCGCCCTACCCGCTGTGCTATTGCTCCAGCCTCCTATTAGACTCTTATAGACTGGTCTGGAACCAGCCCTGGTCACCAGCCTGGTGGAACCCAAGTCCAGTAGAGACACAGAAATAGTGTGGTGACTGTAATTAGGGAAGAGTATATGTGTGTGTGTCCTTCCTTGAAAGGTGCTGGGCAGAATAAGCTGTTTTGGTCCTTTTTATAGTAGAGGTGATGCTGAGATCTGAGACTGGTCCTAATTTTCTTTATGCAGATACACTTCAGTTGGGTCAGTGAGCTGTAACACAGGTTTCGCATGAAGAATGCTTGGATCTGACTCCTGGCACTGCTGGGAATGCCCCCTGGGCCAGGAGTAATCCCTGACCACTGCTAGATAGGAGCCAAAAGTTAACCAAAAAGCCCTTCTGAGAGCCAGGGAGAGAGTCCACAGAGCTGGAGCACATGCCCCAGGTTCACTCCCCAGCCCCATATCGTTCTCTGGCTCTGCATGGTTCTCCCCTGTGCACTGCTGCACAGAGTAGCCCCCAGGCAACAATAGTTGTGGCGCGAAAACAAAAAACAGACCCGAAAAAGCACTTTTAAGGTCGGGAGAGATAGTGCACGGAGGTAAGACAGTTGCTTTGCATGTTGCTCAGCTGCCACAACCCTGGTTCAAATCCCAGCTACCACCTACCTCCCCTGAGCACTGCCAGGGGTCGCTCCTGAGCACAGAGCCAGGAGTAGCCCTGGAGCAGTGCCAGGTGTGGCCTGAAGTAGCCCCCCACCCCCCAAAATAAGCCTTTTCAGGGTGTCCTGTGTCCTTTGAGGATAGCTCAATGATAGAGCATTTGCCTTGCTAGTGTGCTCCCTTGGGCCTGTAGCCCACAGCGTTTGATCCAGGGCACTGCATATGTATGTACCGATGAGCTCCACTAGGGGTCACTAGTGAGCAGAGCCAGGAATAGGTGTTGAGTAGTGCTGGGTGTGGCAGCCCCCAAGACTACAGTAACAACAAGAGTACTGTGGGCTTATTTCATTGTAACATCGGGTCTAGTTTACCCAGGGCCCAGCCTCAGGCCTGGGAGACCTGTGTGGTAGGAGGTTGACTTGGGGTCAACCAGGTCTGGTGTCCCGGCTCTGTTCCTCTTTGCTCAGATTGCTTACAGACTTAAGCATCAGTTTGCTCATCTGTAAAGGGGAATGATGATGAGGGAATGTGTCCCCTGGTCTGTGGCTTCAGACCACCAGCATGACTTTCAGCAGAGAACTTGTTTTGGGGCCGCACCTGGTGGTGCTCAGGGCTTACTCCTAGCTCTGCACTCAGGAACCATATGAGGTGCCAGAAACTGAACCCAGTTTGGCCGCATGCAGGCAGAAGTACTCCCTGCTGTACTTATCACTCTGGCCCCACCACGAGAGAACTTCTTAGAAAAATTGAGACTCCACTTTAGATCTCTTCTAAATTGTGTGGAGCGAGCAGTTCATTTGAACTTACCCTCCTAGGGATGCAGGAGCCTCACTCAGGTCAGCTGGTCACTTAGCTAGCTTCTGGCCTTCAGGGAGCCTTCCAGTTGTTGGCTGCTGGTACCTTCTCCCCGACCCCCAATAACCTCCCAGGCCCAGGCACTTAGTTTATTTTTTTTTAATTTATTTTATTAGTTTAAAAACAAAACATTTGAAGACTCACTCTGCGGCCTGCTGCAACACCAAGCACAGGGATTTTTCCCATCTGCCACAGAAATGTGCCAGGGACTGGCACTACTTTGACCTATCAAAGTGGCAGAGTTGCTTGGGGAAAAAAGCGGAACATTCAAGAATAAGTAAAGACAAAGAAAAAGATGGTACTTCAGGTGCAGAGAGGAGGGCCATCCACACTGCAGGGGTGGGGGAGGTGAGACCTGCCTTTAGAGCTGAAAGGACAGTGGCCATGCATTGGTGGCCAGAGCCAGTTCTTACCCGGGCCACTTGCAGTGTTTGGTTGGAGGGCTGGAGGGAAGGAGGGAGCCAAACACTGAAACCGTGAGGGTGGGGAGTGGTGAGGAATCAGAGTGACCTTTTTGGGCCACAGGGATAGGACTGCGGGTCACCCTGGTCTGATCCCTGGTGCCATACAAGGGTCCCCCAGGCCACTGTCAGAAGTGACCCCCGAGCACCACTGGAAGTGGCTCAAACATTCTGCCCCAGAACAAAATAAAACCAGAAAATAACCGTAGTCCTCAGAGCTGTTTCTTGTATGAGTGACTATATTGTGTACCTAGAAGAAGAGAAAAAATACACAGATGTCAGGCAGTGAGAATGGAAAAATAGTCTGAGCACTGCTTGGAGCACTACCCCCACCTCCAAGAAAAAGGCAGGAGAGGGGCTGGAGCAGTAGCACAGTGGGTATGGCATTTGCCTTACATGCAGCCGACCTGGGTTCAATTCCCAGCATCCCATATGGTCCCCTGATCACCACCAGGAGTCATTCCTGAGTGCAGAGCCAGGTGTGACCCCCCCCAAAAAAAGAGCACAGGAAAGGAAGGGGTGCGTTGGGTGCCCACCCATGCAAGGACCCATGAAGGTCTTGGAGATAGGGTGAGCGGAGGACAGGATCGTAGGGATGTTCGGGAGAGGATAGGCTATGCAGAGAGGCGAAGGGGCCTCCCTGGGGCGAGGACTGGCTTGGGGTGATGAGGAACACAGGCAGCCGGTGGCGCTAACGCCTTACCTCCCTGTAGGGCAAACGGAGAGCCGGGGGCGGCTGCAGGGGGTCGCGGAGCTGCGCCTGGCGGGCCTGGAGCTGACGGACGCCTCCCTGCGGCTCCTGCTGCGCCACGCACCCCAGCTGAGCGCCCTGGACCTCAGCCACTGCGCCCACGTCGGGGATCCCAGTGTCCACCTCCTCACAGCCCCCACCTCGCCACTCCGAGAGACCCTGGTACACCTCAATCTTGCCGGTAAGCGCGCTGCCTGGTCCCAGGGGGCCGTGCGTGGCCCGCCCCCCACTCCTGCCCTCTCTCAGGCAGCGCCCGCTGTCCCCGCCAGGTTGCCACCGCCTCACGGACCACTGTCTCCCGCTGTTCCGCCGCTGCCCGCGCCTGCGCCGCCTGGACCTGCGCTCCTGCCGCCAGCTCTCACCCGAAGCTTGTGCCCGACTGGCAGCCGCGGGGCCCCCCGGCCCTTTCCGCTGCCCCGAGGAGAAGCTGCTTCTCAAGGACAGCTAGTAGTTGGGTGCCCCCACCTTCCCCCAGGACTTCCTAGGAGCCTGGACCTCAGGCCTTCATTTCACCCCTGCCAGGAGGCCGGGTTCCCCACCTCATGACTTGGGGTTCCTGCCCAGGGACTTGAGCCAGCCTCCCCCCTCTCTGCCCCCTGCACTGATATCTCTGGGGGTCTCTCCTTCCCATCCCCTTCCCCCTCTACCTGCTTCATTGTCCATCCCCTGGGGGGAGTGGGTCAGAGGTACTGGGGGGTGCTGAGCCAAAGGGATGGTGGGAGGGGGGTAAGGTGCAAGTTTGAGGGGGGGAAATGGGGAAAGGATACTGGGAGTCAGGGGGCGGGGGAGGCGGAGGAGGGGCTGGGGGAGGGGCCGAAAGCAGACCACCAAGGGTTCAGGGAACAGAGGCCACTTACTTGGATTGGGGGGTGGGGGGCCACAAGAGGAAGGAAGAGGAGCAGTTGGGGATCCAGTTGTCAGCGGTGGGGGACTTGGGGACGTCGGGAAAAGCCAGGGCTGAGCGAGGGCTGGGACAAGAGCAGGCGTGGGGGTGAGGTACCCCCTCGAGGGGTCGGCCCTCTCCTTACTCTCTCCCCAGATTTCAGTTCCTTCCCCCCAACCCTGACTCCTTGAACGTCACTGACAATGGCAGCTATTGCTAGGGGTGGGGCCACAGGCCTCCCCGCGTTCAGCGCGGCCCAGGGGAGTAGTGAGGGGTACCCCAGCCCCCTATCTGCCTCCCCGCACAATACTTGAACATTCATCTGTACTGAAGTGTTACTTGAACTGGGGGAACCTCGGACCTGAGGGAGCCGGAGTGAGAGGGGACAGGACCAGACTGGACTGAGACTGGACTGGTGGCCACCCACTTTGGACTGTGCCACCCCAGGCTCGGTGTTGTTTTACTGTATTGAGCAGCTCCAGCCCTCCTGACTTGGGGTGGGGGGGTGGGGTGGGGTGCCGGCCCAGTGATGGGGAAGAGGGCACTCCAACTTGGCTCTTTCCACGCGTTCATCGTCATGGAAACTTGTATCCCATTTGCCCAGGGAACTGCCACTCCTGGTTGCCATGGAAATAGCAGCCAATGGACACCTCCCAAAGCCAGTTTAAGGCTGGAAATGGCCCCTCTTAGTTGCCATGGGAACTTAGTAACAGGCTCTTGGCCCTCCCGGCCCCTTCCTCCAGTGCGGGGCGGAGCTTAGTGGCCGGGGGCGGGGTCGGGCCAGGTCCCGCCCCTTGGCCCGGGCCTCCGAGGGGGGGCCGGGTTGTACCATGTAGGGGCGGGGGGATCTATCCACATACCTCAGGTAACCGGGAGGTGCGCGGGTGGGGGGAGGGACTGGGCGGACCAAAGGCCAGAGGGAGGGGATCCTGGGGGTCGCGAAAGGTTTGAGGATGGGGCCGCTTGGGGGAGGGGGAGGAGGCAGCCCGGCGAGGGACCAGAGGGGGACCCAGCCGGGCTGGGCCCCTGGGCCCCGGGTCTGTACAATACGGTTTGCTATAAAACTCAAAATCTTCCAGCTGGGGCCGCCGAGTTCGTGTGTCTGTCTTCGGCGTGGGGGCCTGGGGTGGATGGGAGTCAACGGAATGTCCCCACGCCCGTGGGACTCTCGAAGGAGGGGGCTGTCTGCCTGGGTCACCCTGGGTGGTCCCGCATCTGAGCATCGGGCCCCGGCTGCGCCCCTGCCGACCGTGGGGCTCGCCTTCCCGGACTTGAACTCAAGTTTCGGGGAGTCTGGGCCTCCGGGAGTGTCCAAGCCGGCTGGACACCCGGACACTCATCTCCGAGACTGGGGTCCCCCGGGACTCTCGCCGCCGGCTCCCGGTTCCCCCGACTCCACCCCATCATGTGGCCGCCCGGGCTCCGCCTCCGCCCCAGTTCCTGTTTCGGCCGCTGCTGTCCCGCTGCAGCCCGAGGGCTCCCGCCGACGCCGGCGCTTCCTGCCCGCCGGGCCGCCGCCTCCCGGGCGCCCGCGTCCGCATCCTCCCTCGGCCCGCGGGGCGATGGGACCCGCCCCTGCCCGGCCCGGGCCCTGCTGGGGCCCCCGAGCCCGCGCGGCTCCTCCGTGAGCGCCCAGCCCGCCCGGTGCCGCCCCCAGGATGAAGAGCGGCGAGGGGGACGCGGGCGAGCAGGCGCCCCTGAACCCCGAGGCCGAGAGCCCCGCGGGCTCGGCCACCTACCGGGACTTCGTGCACCGCGGCTACCTGGACCTCATGGGGGCCAGTCAGCACTCGCTGCGGGCGCTCAGCTGGCGCCGCCTCTACCTCAGCCGGGCCAAGCTCAAGGCCTCCAGCCGCACATCCGCCTTGCTGTCGGGCTTCGCCATGGTGAGGGAGGCGAGGGCCCCCGTGGGGGAGGCCCGTGGGGAAACTGAGTCGGGACCCAGGGCGGGCAGGGGAGGACGGGGTTCTCGGCGCCACTGGAGGGTGCAAAGCAGCTTCCCCACTGGGGTTCCTCCTTTGTGGTCTGTGTGTGCGCAGACCTGGGTCCTGGGGGGAAGCCGCATCCCAACACGTGCGGGAGCAGGTAAGTGACCAGAAGGGTGGCATCTGCAAGGATGGGGACAGTCTGAAAGCGTAGACCCCCAGAAGTGAACCCACGAGAGGCTCAAAGACAGTTTGGGGGGGCAGTCAGGAGGGTAAGCAGGTCAAGGGGTCCCCCAAGCAAAGCGCGCAGGTCCCAGGGAGGGCCGCTCCTGCACGTCCGCACCCCGGGAAGCTTTGGAAGGAGCCCGGGGAGGTGTGTGGTCACCTGGCTGGCAGACCTCAGCTGCGGAGGCCCCCGCGGAGCCTCAGCGGGAAGTAGGACAGGCCCCCCCAGATGAGGGCTTGCAGACACAGTTTCTAGTTTCTCCCTGCTGTGGCCAGCGCGGTTACCCTGGACAGGCCCCCACTTCCAGGCAGGCCAGGGAGAACCTGAGCTCCCACCCTTACACACCCAGTAGATTGCCTGCCAAACACCGACCCTGGGCAAGCTGTGATTTTTGTCCTCGAACCCGAGAGCAGTATTTCCCAGAGTGGTGGTGATCCCACCTGGGGGCACTGGAAAGATGTGGGGGTGCAGTGGAGGGGGTGCTTTCTGTGTGTTTGTTTGAAGAAGGTAGATTTCCAGAAGGGCCTGAGTGATTTTTTTCTGAAAGGGCACCTTAGAGAGGCCGGAGCAATAGGACAACGAATAGGACACTTGCCCTGCACTTGGGCCACTCGGGGTTGATCCCCAGCATCTCATAGTGTCCCCGAGCCCACCAGGCATGATTCCTGAGTGTAGGGTCAGGAATCAGCCCTGTGCATGGCTGGGTATGGCCCAGAAAACCAAAAGGAAAAAAAAAAGTAGGAAGAAAGGAGATCTTTGGCTAAATAAAAACCTAGGTCAGAACAAGTCAGAACAAAACTCGTATCCGAGGGCTCAGGCTCGGACGGACCTGTTGGTTGCACAGGCATGGAGACTGGTGGGGCAGTGGCTGCTTCCCAGATGCAGGGTACAGGATGGACGTGCAGCCCGGGTTTCTCCACCATCATGGCAGAGGAAGGAAGCTGGTTGGAGGCAGCGCTCAGGAACTGCGCTAGGGAGATTTCCAGATGAGGGTAGAGGAGGGGCCGTAGAGTTGGGTGATGTGAGTTAACTCAGCCCCACAGCATCTGTATGCAGGCAAGAAGGAACGTGTAGGGCCAGTGTTGGCCTGGGTTTTCTTGACATGGTGTCATTGGAGACAGGTGATTCCCTTTCTCCAGGACAGACTGCTGAGAAAAGCGAACGGCATGGGAGCTGGCTGAAGGCAGTTCCCTGCTCTTCTCTGCCCCATGGTCCAGTTGGTTCCCGGGGGGACAATCCGACTTGCTGCTAGTCTTGCTGGTTGCTAGGGTGACAGCTTAAGGGCTAGGACCTTCTCAGCAGGATCCAGGGGCCAGAGGAGTGGATTCTGGCCCCAGTCCTACTGGGTTAGCGAGGCAGGGTCAGGCTCTGGGAGAAGAGGGGGTGAAGACTAGGCCTGTCTGGAAGACGCCCGCTGACACCTGGCCCAGTTTACCAAAATGCTTGGCTTGGCTCCTAGCACCACCCAGCAGGTGCAGCGCCCTCCTCCCCCCTCGGCCCCATCGCCGTCCATTAGGTCCTGCAGAATAGGCCATGCCTGGCCACGGTGAAAGAGCCAAATTCTAGGATCCAGGTAGCCTGGATTAAAATAGCATGCAAATAGTATTGATTAGTCTCTAATAATAGTATTGTCTTTGATAATAATAGTCTCGGGGCTGGAGCGATAGCAAAGCGGGTAGGGCGTTTGCCTTGGGTTCGATTCCTAGCATCCCATATGGTCCCCCGAGCACCGCCAGGGGTAATTCCTGAGTACAGAGCCAGGAGTAATCCCTGAGCATCGCTGGGTGTGACCCAAAAAGGAAAGTAATAATATAATAATAGTCTCTAAGAACAGTATTGGGGGGCAGGGAGGGGCATACCTGGTGATGCTCAGAACTCATGCCTCCGGTCTTGGGAGACCATATGGGGTGCTGGTGATGGAACCAAACCCATGTCAACCATGTGCAATGCAGGAGCTGTCCCCGCTGTACTGTGTCATCGGCCCTATGCTTGGGGCTTTTAGGTGCCTCATCTTGCTATTACACTGCAGCTATGGCTCTTTTGCAGATGAGAAAACTGATGCTAAGAAACATGCTATGAACCCACAGCAAGGAAGTGGCAGAATTTTGACTTAGACTTTGTTCTAGAGTCCAAGTTTATATGCATCAAATTATATAATAACTGAGCTGTTTGCAATGGCTAGGCAGGAGATGTGAATTCAGTGTTGCATGGGAGTGGGGTAGGGACTTGCTATCAAGAGATACTAAGAATGGTCCAAAAGAGCGGAATAACTAGACACTAGCGGATAGTTACTATGTTGGAATGATATAGGTAAGCCTTCCATATTTTCAAGAGGATCTGGAAGTGGGGTATTTGCATACAATCAATCTTTTTTAGTTTTTGGGCCACACCTGGTGACACTCAGGGGTTCCTCCTGGCTCGGTGTTCAGGAATTAGTCCTGACAATGCTTGGGGGACTGTATTGGATTCCTGGGGATCACATCTGGGTTGACCACATGCAAGGCAAGCGCCCTATCCGCTGTACTATCACTCCGGCCTTATTGATATACAGTCTCATGAGTTTGAAAAGTTAACTTGGGACCAGCAAAACCTGACATGGTGTGGTCCCCAGAGCATCTCCAGGAGAGACCCCCAAGCACCATGATAGGAGTAGCCCCAGCATCTCTGGGCATGGCCCCCAAGCCAAAATAAATCAATGTAAATAAATGACATTGTATGAGCCAAGCAGAATCTGTCTGCTAGCTGGCTTAGGTTCAGCTTTGTGCAATTTGCAAAGTCTATCCTTTGCTTTTAGTGTTAACTTTAATAAGAGCAAACACCTACTGCTTATTATGTAGCTTATGTTGTCTCCTTACATTTTCACCACAATCTACAGGGCAGGGAGGTGCTGTTTATTATTATTATTATTATTATTATTTTGCCTTCTTTGGGTCATTCCTGGCTCTGCACTCAGGAATTACTCCTGGTGGTGCTTGGGGGACCATATGGGATGCCGGGGATCAAACCCGGGTCGGCCGCGTGCAAGGCAAATGCCCTACCCGCTGTGCTATCACTCCGGCCCCAGGGAGGTGCTGTTTTAAAACAGCCCCCACCCCCAACTTTTTTTTTAGTTTTGGGCCACACCCAGTGATGCTCAGGGAATTGGTGATGCTTGGGGGCCATACAGGATGCCAGGGATGGGATCTGGGGTTGGCTGCATTCAAGGCAAGTGCCCTACCCGCTGTGCTATTATTCTGGAACCTAAGTTCCTGTTCTTCAAATGAGGACATTGAGGCATAGCACTAAGTGAAAATTGCATACGTTGGGGCTGGAGAGATTGTCCACTTGCCTTTATGCAGCTACCCGGGTTTAATCCCTGGCACCTCATATGGCCCTCCGAGCCCACTAGGATTGATCCCTGAGCGCAGAGCAGGAGTAAGCCCTGAGCACTGGGGGGTGTGACCTCCATTGTGGCCCCAAAACCTTAAAAAACGAAAACAAAAAGGACTTTACAGCTTGTAGAACTAAAAAGGATCCTTCACTTCAGAAAGTGTGTGTGTGTGTTTTTTTTTTTTTAAAGAGGGCTGGAGAGATAGTACAGTGGGCAGGGAGCTAGCCTTGCACACGGCTGACCTGGGTTTGATCCCTGGCACCCCATATGGTCCCTCCAAACCACCAGGAGTGATCCCTGAGTGCAGAGCCAGGAGTAAAGCTCTGAGCACCATGGGATATAGCCCCAAAACCAAAAAATAAAGGAGAGGCTGGAGGGATAGTACAGCGGGTAGGGCATTTGCCTTGCATGTGGCTGATCCAGGTTTGATCCCTGGCATCCCCTATGGTCCCCTGAACACTGCCAGGAGTAATTCCTGATTGCAGAGTTCAGAGTAACTACTGAACATCGCCAGGTGTGACCCAAAAGCAAAAAGTAAAGGAGGCTCCCCGGTGGTACTTAGTACCACAAGGGCTATACCCGGTAATGCTTGGTGGGGGTGGCATAGGATCAAGTGTCATGTAATGCCAGGGATCGTATTTGGAGCTTCATGCAAAGCATGCACTTCGCCCTTTGAGCTATGTCCCCGCTTGGATTATGCGCTCTCTAAGCCCACTGACAAGTGTCATTGTCAGAACCATGCCATCTTAGGGAGGTGGGAAACCTAGAGCCCAAACCAGACCTCCTGGCCCTCACTGAACATTCCCCCCCCCAAACAAAGACTTCGTAGGACTATAGTGATAGTACAGTGGGTAGGGCGTTTGCCTTGCACGTGGCCGACCCGGGTTCGATTCCCAGCATCCCATATGGTCCCCTGAGTACCACCAGGGTAGTGACTGAGTGCAGAGCCAGGAGTGACCCCTGTGCATCACCGGGTGTGACCCAAAAAAGAATAAAAAAAGATGGCATGCCGCCTTATGCCAGGTACTGTTCTGGGCCCAGGGGCTACCCTGAAGAATGCCAACGGGCAAAAGATAATGGATAACTTTTTGCCACCTCTTCCCTTTTGAAGCTGTAGGGACTCAATTTAGGCTGGAGTGATAGCACCACAGGTAGGGCGTTTGCCTTGCATGTGGCCGACCTGGGTTCGATTCCTCCGTCCCTCTCGGGGAGCCCAGCAAGCTATTGAGAGTATCCCGCCTGCACGGCAGAGCCTGGCAAGCTCCCCGTGGCGTGTTCAGTATGCCAAAGACAGTAACAACAAGTCTCACAATGGAGACATTACTGGTGCCTGCGCGAGCAAATCGATGTTGTTTGAAGCTGAACAACAGGAAGACAGTGCTACAGGGACTCAGTCCATGAACTCTTGTCCCCACAGGTGGCCATGGTGGAGGTCCAGCTGGAGAACAACTATGAATACCCGCCAGGCCTGCTGGTGGCCTTCAGTGCCTGCACCACCGTGCTCGTGGCTGTGCACCTCTTTGCACTCATGGTCTCCACGTGTCTGCTGCCCCACATCGAAGCCGTTAGCAACATCCACAACCTCAACTCTGTCCACCAGTCTCCACACCAGAGACTCCACCGCTACGTGGAGCTGGCCTGGGGCTTCTCCACTGCCTTGGGCACCTTCCTCTTCCTTGCCGAAGTTGTGCTGGTTGGCTGGGTCAAGTTTGTGCCCGTTGGGTCCCCCTTAGGCACACCACCAGCCCCCGGGGTACCTGCCTCCCAGGTGCCTGGGACTCTGCCACCGTTGGCTCCCTCCCTCAGCCCAGCTTCTAAGCCATCTGCTGCTTCTGTGGCCCCCTCTGAGTTGCCTGGGGGCTGCCCACCTCCCCAAGTCTGTGGAGATGGTGGGGGCCATGGGCCGGGCTGGCAGGCAGCCATGGCCTCCACAGCCATCATGGTACCGGTGGGGCTGGTGTTTGTGGCCTTTGCCCTGCATTTCTATCGCTCCTTGGTGGCCCATAAAACAGACCGCCACAAGCAGGAGTTGGAGGAGTTGAGTCGCCTGCAGGGGGAACTGCAAGCTGTGTGAGGTCGGTGTTCGATGCTGCTGCGAACACTGACCCCTCTGGGGCTGGCCGGAAGCTCCCCTGCCTGGAGCCACCCGAAGAGCTGCTGTTCTCAGGCTCAGATTCCAGTCCCAGGCCCTTTGGGGCTGGCCTGGGGCAGCGCCCACACTCCCAGAGATTTCTCTCCTTGGATTTTTATTCTTTTTTTTTCTCTTTGGGTGACACCCGGCATTGCACAGGGGTTACTCCTGACTCATGCACTCAGAAATTACTCCTGGCGGTGCTTGGGGGACCATATGGTATGCTGGGAATTGAACCCGGGTCGTCCACGTGCGAGGCAAATGTCCTACCTGTTGTGCTATCACTCCGGCCCCTCTCCTTGGGTTTTGTAAGTTCTACTCTGTGCCTGGGCTGGGAGAAGCAAAGATCTGAAGCTCCCGAAGCGTGTAGAGGTGACGCTAGGAGACCCTGTCAGATTGGCCACACACTCCTGCACAGGATGTGGAAGTCAAAGTTTATATGCCTAGCCGGATGTCCCAAATTTTGCTTTATTTTTGCAGAATCTATTTGATTGGGAGAAACTTTTCTTAACTCTCAGATTTTAATGGGTTCCACCCTCTTGCTTTAGTTACAGTAAGAGGGATTTGGATGTGCCAAATCTGGGTGTACCCCAGACATAGGGTCAATCTTTCCTAGAAGTCTCCCTATTTCAGGAAGTTCAAATGCTTGCCCCCCCCCCACAACGCCCTACATTTATGCGTCTGTTTCTCACTCCCGGGCCAGTGCCGGAGAGGGCCCTGTGTGCCCAGCCGATCTAGCATGGTTTGGAAAAAGTTCTTTTGATTATTTTGGGCCACACCTGGCTCTGCCCAATCCAGGGCGTACTCCTGAACTCTGAGCTTAAGGATCACTCCTGGTGGGGCTAGGGGACCATATGCCAGGGATACTGCGTACAGTAAGGGGTAAGCACCCCACCCTTCTAGTATCTCTATGGCCCAGAAGGCTCAGTCCCTAGCCCTTGGAACACTGATATTCTAACACTGCATTTTTGATGCATCATTTTGTATAATAAAATGTATTTCACAGATGTCCCTGTGGCTGTGAATGGGATGAAGAGGTTTCCTTGAGATGAGGTGACTTGATCCCAAGAGGCTAGAGGAAGCATGTCGTCTGGGGATGGGGATGAGTGGGGCCCACGTCTGACCCCCAGTGCAGATAGGCAGATTCTGAAAGTGGATATTCCAAGGCCTTGGTACTCTTGCTGTCATGCCAGAGATCTCTCTTCCACTGAGGATGTTTCTTTTCCTTTTTGTTTTGTTTGGGGGCCACATGGACAGTGCTGAGGGGCTACTCCCACTCTATGCTCAGGAGTTGCTCCTGGTAGTACTGGGCAACCATAGGCAGTGCTAGGGATCAAACCAAGGTCTCTCCAGCCTGCACTCAGCCTGTTGAGCTATACCACTTTATTTGAGACCAATCAATTACACTGATTATAATTTAATCCTCACAACCACCACCAAACGTCTTGGCAGTTTCTATTTAAGATAAAGTAGGATTCCAGAAAGTTTGGATCTTGCTTCAAATCACACATCTTGGGTTACCTGTACCATCACATTTGTCCGGTGTGAGGAGGACCTTGCACCTGGGACAAGAGAAAGAAATCCAATGTAAGCACCATGCTTCCATAGATAATAATAGATAATTCTCATAATATTTTTGGCCTTTGGGCCACACCCAGTGGTGCTCAGGGCTTACTCCTGGCTCTGCTCAGGGATCATTTTATTTTTAAAAGCTGTTCACAATCATGTTACATTTATTATTCCAACACCAATCCCACCACCATTACACCTACCCACCACATTTTGAATGTTTCCACCCTGACCCCCAAACCCTACCCCCAAAGTAGGACCCAAATAATATGTTCCCTATCGCTTGTGGATAATCCGCTAAGAATGATCCCAAAAAGTTTGCTTAGAGAAAAGTGTGTGAAGATTGTTGTATTTCCCCCTGGAGCCAGTAAACCCTTGTATAAGGGATTACCAACATGTAAACAGGAATCACTTTGGGTGGTGCTCCGGGGAGGATATGGGATACCAGGGATTGAACCCAGGTCAATTTTTGCAAGACCAGCGCTTTTCCTGCTGCCCGATCTCTCGGCCAGGCCTCGTAAACTTTACTGCTGCTCAATTATTTCATTATGAGACCTAGGCCGGGCTCCCCTTTCCTGTTTGTAAATTTCCAGGGACCAGGCCCCTGGAGGGTTTTCCTTCATTGTTCAGATTCTGTAATAGTCCTGTGAGAATTAACTTTTCAAAGAAAGCAGCTCAAGTTTTGAGCGGTCAACGACTTGCCCAGTCCTCCATGAAAGGCCTGATGTAGAGAGCCTGGAACTTCGGCCCAGGCCAGAGGTTCTCCTGGGCATGCTGGCACTCGGCGACCAACCTGTCGGGTGTTCAAGCCAGAGAAAAAGGTAAAGCTTGGGGTCACTAGCACCCTCAAGCCGTTGCTGCCCTCTAGCGGCCAGAATCATGTAAGCAAGAGGGTGTCTTCCCCCCACCACCTCGCCTCCGGCCCGCGGAAAGCAGCGGGCACTAGGACCACGCTGCCGAGAGACTCGCTCGGCCTACCCTTTACCACGCAGGTCACTTTAGGAGAGGTGTTCTGGGGATGTACCCCGCCTCGGGCACGCGAAGCTCGCGTTCTTCCACTGAGCTACATCCTCAGCACCCCTAGTCGGTAATTTTTTTTTTACAAGACCCGTCCCAGGGGCCTCGACGCCCTCCCAGGCTTATAACTTTGCAACAGCATCCGAAAAACGCGAGCCTCCTCTGCAGGCCTCAGTCTCCCCGTCCATCAAATGGGCATCTGAGGCAGCTAGAGGTCCAGGGGATAACGGTTCTAGGAGGCGCCCAACACACCGATTGGATGGCCGCCGTGCGCGGTATTTTTCCACCTCCGGGCGCCCCTCCCAGCCCGCCCGGTTTCCGCGGGTCCTCCAGGAAGCGGCCCCGCGCGCCGGGCCCCGCCCACAGGCCGGGCCGCGGCGCGGGGCCCCTCCCCGGGGTTGCTCGGGCTCCGCGCTCCTCGGCCGAAAATTCGCCTCCGGCTCCGAGGGGAGCGTGGGGCCGGGTGGGGACGGGCCCGCGCCCCGAGTGGCGCTGATAAGAAAGCTCCAGGACAAGTGGCCGGCTCGGCCCACTTGGGCTTTATTTCCCGGACTCCGCCGCGGCCGGGGAAGGGACAGCGACCTGCGCGGCCCCGCACCCGTGGCGAATCTGCAGCTCCGGCGCCCGCGGGCCGAGCGCGGCCGGCGCAGGGAAGAGGAGCGAGGAGCGCGCATCCTGCTCGCCGCTCCGCCCCGCCCGCCCGCCTGACGAATCTGCGCCTGTTGGACGCGCCGCTCGGCTCTGCCCAGCCCTGGCCGGCCGCCCCCCCGGCCCCGCCCCCTCCTCCTCGGGGACCAGCCGCCGCTTTCGTCGCCGCCGATTCGTCAAGGACCCCGGGCCGGAGCAGCCGGAGAGCGGCGGGGAAGCCCAGTCTCCGGGGGATGCGGCCCCGCGCCAGGCCCCCTGAGCAGCTACTCTCGAACCGTAGCGGGCGCCGGCCGAGGCGGAGCGCTTCTCCTCGGCCCCGTGCGTCTCCCGGCGGCGCCCGTGGCGAAAGTGCGAATGTGGACGCGGAGCCCGCTGGGCCTCTCGCAGGTGGCGGTGGTGTTTGGTGCGCGCGCCGGGGAGGTGGTGGTGGTGGGGGGGCGCCGCCGCCGCCACCGCTGCGGGGCCGGGTCTCGCGCTGCTGCCGCCGCCGCCGCCGCCTCGCGCCGCTGAGGTGCCGCGCGCGGGGGGGGAGGGGAGCCGCTCGCCGCGAGCGGGTGAGTGGGGCCGCGTCGCGCGTGCGCGGAGATGGGGGCCCCGAAGGCGCCGGAGCGGGAGGAGAGGGCAGCGGCGCGCGAGCCCCCCACCCCCCCCGCGCGCATTCGGGGCCGAAGCCGGGTCTCGGGCTCGGTCTCGCGGTGTTTCCAACGCCCCGAAGAGGTGCCACCTCTTGGCCAGAGGCTCCGGGCACGGGGACGGGAGCGGGTGTGTGGGAGCGGGAGCCGGGCTCGGCCCGGGCCGCTGGCCGGTGAGGAGGCGGGAGGGGGCGGGGCCTCAGGGGGCGGGGGAGGGGTCTTGCGCCGAGGCCAAGTGGGGCGCGAGCTGGGGAGAGCGGGAAGGTAAGGGGGCGCGAGATGGGCCTGGGGGGGCCTTTGGGGAGAGTTGGGAGGTGGAGGGAGAATGGGGTGTTGTGGAGGGAGGTACTTGGGGGGAGGACATCAGGAGGAGCCGCTGGTCGTGGTAAGGGGGTCGAGAGGGGTGATGAGAGACCCTGGAGCCTGCGCTTGTAGGTGGCCAGGGGGTCAGGCCTGAGTCCTGAGCCCCCTTCCGTGGTGTCTCTTACCTCGCAGTGTAAATGAGCAAAGATGGATCAAGAAGGTGGGGGAGATGGGCAGAAGGCCCCGAGCTTCCAGTGGCGGAACTACAAGCTCATCGTGGATCCTGCCTTGGACCCTGCCCTGCGCAGGCCCTCTCAAAAGGTGTACCGCTATGATGGAATCCACTTCAGTGTCAACGTGAGTGCTCCGGAGCTGTCCTTGCCATCTTAGTGGACTCTATGGCCTGACTCACCAGGTTTCCTCTTCAGCACTGAGAATTTCATTCATAACCTGCCAGGCAGCCAGAGCCTGGCACTTTTGCCCCGGGGGTCTCACTCAGTAACATGGTTTCACCGTGAGCTATCTTTCTGTTACTACTTTCATTCCTAGGACTCCAAGTATATACCCGTCGAAGACCTTCAAGATCCTCGTTGCCATGTCCGATCGAAAAACAGAGACTTCTCCCTCCCAGTTCCTAAGTTCAAGGTATGTGTCTGCTGCTCTCCTCGTGGGGTGCCCATTGGAGGCTGAGGCTGAGGGGATCCTGGTTAGTACTCCAGTCTTAACTTCGTGTAATGAAGAGGGTTTTTTTTTTTTTTTTTCAGTGAATTGCTGTCAGAATCTAACAACCTCAGGTTGTGAGGCTGACTTGTTCTAGGCAAGCGGTAGATACTCTAGAAAGATACTGGTGAGGTATCCTAAGCATGGGTCTTGACTTGAGGGCTGGAAGAAAGGTTTAGTGTATCTGCTCTGCTGTCACACTGTATTC